AGCCCCAGAGCCGCAGCGGCGGGCCTCCGGGAAACCTGGGCTAGAGAGGCTGGGAGCTCCCCGCCGCCCCTCGTCCCCGTTCCTTGGACATGGGAACCGCCCCGAGGTCACTGGGCCAGGGCCCTGCGTCGCCAGAAGGCGGCAGGGAAAGGGGACAGCCCTGGTGCCACACACAAACCTGGGCACGGTCTGTCCTGCGGGACGGGATCCCTACCTTGCCCGGAAGCGGGGCGCTACCCCAGCTGCCCAAAAGGGTTGAGAAGTAAACCAAGGCGCGCCCCATCGCTTTCTGGAAAGATCAATACCTGGGGAGCAGGACTCCTCTTCTTTCCAGTCAGAAAATCCTTTAGAGGAACCCCTTCCTTTAACACACACGCACACACACACACACAGGCTCCTTAAGGCTGAAAAGGGAGCCGAGTTTGGAATTCAGGGAAGTGATGACACACACAACAATGCTGTCACACCTGGCTGCTACAGGCCAGCGGCGGAAATGCCTGCAAGGGGTTGGGGGTTGGGGTACAGAGTCGGGGGAGGGGGAGGGGGAGATGGCCCCAGCCTGGGTGGTCAGAAAAAAAAAGAGGAGAGAGCAGCACACCCTCCCCCCAAGGTAGGGCCAGATCCAGCTGTTCTTTTTCCCCTGCCAAGACCCTAGGGGAGGATGGGCATTGAGGTTAATCTGCAGCAGCCCAAAACCCAACTCACCCCATGCCCACCCATAGCCTGGGCACAAATTGGAGTGAGGACGAAGAAAAACACCTTCACTCCTGCTCAGGAAGCAGTCACAGAGGTTTTGAAGAAGAGCTACTTGTGGGGAGCGGTGAATGAAACCAATCAAGCCACTTTGAGATCTTTTCAATGATGAAGGATGAAGGTATTTACTGAGGTGAGTTACTGCTCCCTCTTGCTGTAGTGGTCAGACCAGGCTGCCCTGCTGACCTCTCTGGAGTCATCTTGTGGATGCTGAATTCCAAAGAGCACAGCATCCTTCCCTTTAATCTCAGAATGCAGATCTGGGCCCTAGTGGGAAGAGGCAGCATATATAGGTGGCCTGCAGTTGCTGGGGCCATAGACCACCAAGGGCTCTTCAGGCTTCCTCAGAGACTGGGAGGCTCAGGAGGAAGAGGCAATGACAGGCATCGGGCCAGCCATTCCAGACATGACATCCATTCAGTCCACATTACTTCACAAAGTATCCTGGCCTCCTCAGCACCAAGGAGTTGGGGCATGAGGACTCAAAACACCCAGCCAGCTCTCTCACACTTTATGATTGCGGACTTTTTGTTAAGGCTGAGTTAACTGTTAAAAGGCACACCTGGCTATTTTGCCAGCACTGATTTTCCCAGCACTGATTTTCCCTGAGACAACCTCCATGCATGCAGATGTAACTGGGTCCCAAACAGACTTCTGCGGTGAGAACTCACCCCTCAGCCCTGGAGAAAGATCAGAACAAATGTAGTGTCAGGAGAGAGATCTGAACAAGTGTCTCCCTCACAGCCTGTTATTTTTCTTCCTAGGCTGTGACAGACTATATACACTGGCAGTAAGAGAGCCAGGAAGAAAAGGAAGAAAGGGAGGGAAGAAGGAGAAAAAGAAAGGAAAGAAAGAAAGAAAGGAAAGGAAAGGGAAGGAAGGAAGGATGGAAGGAAAGATAATGAAAGGAGAGAGGTGAGGGGAGAGAAAAGTGGAAAAAGAAAGAAGATGCAATGTCCATGATCCATATTTATTCTGATACATGATAAACATGTTATTACATATCTATAAATATAAATGTGTTTTACCTCATAAATATAAATCAAACACCTTGCACATGTGCATACCTGTTTCTGCACCAGCACACATGCTCCTGGACAGCTGGTATCTCACGTGTCACAAGGACAGGCTCCCCATGACTTCTGTTTGCGGTACCGATGCACATACAGATTCAGTCCTCCAAAGCCTTACCGGAACATTCACGCCTGTGTCGGAGCAGAAGCAGAGCGGGGTCTACCTGGTGTTGTTAAAGCATGCATCAAACCTATAGGATTACCTCGCGGATACTGAGGAGGGGTCTGGTCCCTAGGTCCAGGGACGGCGCAAGGAAGAGCAGAGGGTCTTCAGGCAGAGCCCCTGGGCACTTCTTCCCAGCGATCCTCTTCCCCAGCTCCATCCCGGCCCAGTCACTCTGAGAGCGCGAGGGACAGGACAGGCCGAGGTTTCTTCGTTCAGTGACACGCGTTTCTGGGCTGATTTTCCCAAAGCCACCGCGCAGCTAGCTTTCTCCACCCCACCCCCCGTCCGGCCCCCCTTGCCGTCCTGCCCCTCCCCCGGGCCCGAGCTAGAAGTTTAGCCTCAAGCCAGCAACGAAGGGCAGAGCAAGGAGTCGTTTCCTTTCACCTGGAAGCTGCGAGGCTTGGCGCGCCTCTCCCAACTAGGGCCCGAGCTCCCTGGGCACCGACCGAGTGCGGACGGACCCCGCCGGGGCCCTCGGCATCTCCCGGCCCAGTCCGCAGAGCGAGCACCGGCAGACCCAAGGGCTTGTGAGAGCGTGAGCCCGGCTGTCCGCCGGCCCCCTACGCTCCCTGGGAGGGGGCAGGCCGGTCCGGGCTGTGCGGGGCGTTTACAAAAAGTGACTTGGAGATGAACTCTCCCGTGCGCGACTGGCCGCCCCGCTATAGGGGCGAAGGCGCCTGACGCAAGCGGAACTCGGCGGAGCCCATACGAATCAGAACAGAGCGAGGCTCCTGGCGCACTAGGGACTCCAGGAGGCAGCTCCGCCAGAGACGCGGGTCGTGCCTCGGGAAACCGGAGGGTGGGGGGAGGGGAAGAGCGCAGAAAAGAAAACCCACCGAGGCGGGGACTGGCCTGGGCGGGGAGGGGCGGCGGGACCAGAGCCCCTCTCTGTTGGGCGGACTCCCTATGGCCAGAGGCTGAGCCGGCCGCTCCCTAGGGGAAGGGAAAGAAGAGGAGAGAGGAGCGAGAGGCCGCCAGCGAGAGCGCGGGCAGCATCAGCAGTCTCCAGAAGTTTG